CAGGTCTCTATGACGACAAAGCACAGAAAATATTGTCTGTATGGAGCGACCTGGGAGGTGCCTGGATTTACCAGATGTAGCCACACGGCCTCCATTGAAGACAGAATCCATATTTCCCGGCATGATCTCCAGACACGGGATAAAACTGACCCTGATCTCAAAGTAATGTTCCAGTGGCCGCTTGATGTCAGAATTAGCTTCTTCAAGTGTTAAACTAGTGCCTCAGAACTTCGAGAAGGTCAAAAACACTATTGAGACAGTCACTTATCACTACCGGCTCAGTCTCACTCGTTCATGGACTTTCTCCTAAACAAGCCCTCTGTTTATTTTCTTGTATTAGCCATTGGCTGTTCATGCATGAATGTCACGTCTGTTGATTTTTCCATCCTCCACTTCTAATAGTCTAAAGTGCAAGGTCGGAAAGCTAGCGCTGTAGCCTTTGGTAGAGTGTCACTCAAATGCTCAGATCCTTGAGACACTGGTAGTCTGGTGTTAGAAGAACACTGCAATCAATAGTCTGACTATGAAACCGAGTGTGTGAACTATTGGTTGCAGATGCAAAGACTTTTTGTCTTCTTACCACATGCTGTTCCAAGTTTTCCAGGTTTTTTTTTTTTCACACAGAGACATCTGTTGTTCTTATATCGTCGTTAGCATTTCAAACTTGCCTTGATGTGATACTTTCATGGTGGATTTTTTTTGGTGTTCAAATCATCCATCCATTATCACTTTCTTTGTATGAGCAGCACAAACATCCTGCTGAACTTCTTTTGTGCTCACTTGATTATTACACTCTTTCATTTTCATGCACAGGCAAACTCTCACACTACCTTTCTGGCACACGGACTGCCATTTTACATCATTGTTACTGCTTTGCGGCTCTGTACTTTATCTTTCCAGTAAACCAAGCCCAAGCAGCTGAGCTGTTAAACTCATTGGCAATTAATTTAAGTTTATTTGACTGCTGAGACTTTATTGCACTGCAGCTTACTCAAACAGCTCTTCAACTCACCGCCACTGCAACATCGGCGAGTTCTATACGCTTAGGAGATGTCTATCAAAGACGAGCGCACAGGTGTTCCAATGTTGTGTCTGTTTTGACTTGCTCTTCAGAACCAAAGTGCAGGTACGGCTGTGTTTCTCTGATCCCTCCAAGACTTTAAAGCCCTAGATATAAAACATGCCTCTAGTCTATATCAGTTTGCGTATACAAAAGAAAAAACGCACAGCAAAAGAATAAAAATGCTGGGCAGAATATAACCATAACAATGCCAAAGTTGAAAGACAGATCTTCTACAATCCTTGTCACTTGAAAGCAATGAGATCATAGATAAAGCAGGCTTAGGGAGCTTTTTGGGGCTACTGTGTCTATCCTAAGCAAAACAGGCTCTTAACAAATCAAATTCGACAGAAGACAAAAACATTGTTATAAAAACTCCCTTATGTGTCTTTTGTTCTCTCTTGTGCTTTTGTCTGTCATTTTCTCCCTTTGTCAGTTTATCTCTTCTGGATAAAAAAGTCTTTCAACATGGCCCTCAGGGCCATTCTGATCCTAAAAGAAAGCTAACTTTCTGATTTATCATTCTCTCCAGCTTAAACAAGTCTTCGTCAGTACAACGTTGATCCAGAACAGCAGAATAGTCGTAAGAATGAATTACGACAGAAAACCCAAGAGGCTGGAGCAATCTTTGACCTTGCCTTATCACTTGAGAGGACTGACCCTTTTTATCTGTAGAATCATTTCGAGCACTCATATCCACTTTCTAATCCCTGTTTTAATAATTGATACGCAGAGTATCTTTACCTGCTCCAGTGGCAGCGTGTGCCGATGAGGCTCTTGAGGCACACGTTCGGCTCAAGAGCTCTCCACAGCCTCCTCTCGCCTCGCCCTGAGAGAGTGCTTTCCACTCATCCTTCAATGGTCACCCTCCCCCTTTCCTCTCTGGCCTCTCCACGGCCCTTGCTCTTTCAGATCATTGAAGGACAATGCTCGGTTTTCAAAGAAAAGGGGAAAAAAGAGGGCCTCGGTGTCAAAGCATTGCCTGTTTGCTGGCGGAATGTCTAAAAAGAAGCACCTCATAAATCAAAACAGGCAAGAAAGGCGATTGTTCTTCCGAGAGCTTGCCTACTTGTCTTCCTTAACTCCCTCCTTCCCTTCCTCCCTTCTTCGTTTGCCAAAGTAAAAGAAGTGAGGTGAGGGGATCGTTGCAGGCTTTTAAGTTTTTTGTGTCTTGTAACTTTTTCTTCTTCCACTTTTCTCGGCAGCTGTTTATCATTGTAGCTGGGTAGTTTTGTCCTTTTGTGTCATGGGTAGCGGTTCACATTTGAAAGTAAGTCTGGATTGCTTTTTCACCAATTGCAAAGCATACTGGACTCCACATTTCATGTGCGCATTTGAGTTTGAACACCAACCAAACAAATCAATTTCTGATGTGAAACATCAAATGCACCTGTAATGTGAAAGTATCCTAAAGCTGCAGTTTACCCAGCATCATTCGTTTCAACCGTATTTTTTATGACCTCAAGTTTAGGCAGATTAGCCTATTACTACATAAAAATGCTGGGTTGTTTCAACCCAAAGTTGGGTTAAATATGGACAAACCCAAACTTTGGGTTCAAAATGTAATTAAAAAGTTTACAGCTGAAAGTGAAAGTTGAAGTTGGGTTAAAATTTTAAATTAAATTTGAACCCAACATTTGGGTTTGTCCATATTTGACCTAAATTTGGGTTAAAACAACCCAGCATTGTTTTGAGTGTAGTAATGGGGGTTTTTTTGGTGCTTTTTTCACCAAGTATGTTTGTGTATATATTATAGTTGTTTGTTTGTTGTTTGTAACTACACATTTTTATTTATTCATTTTATTAGCAGTTTTAGTCCTTTATGTATGTGTGTGTGTGCACGCTTTATGTGTGACATTTGTGGGGGGTTTTCTTCCCACCACAGTAGTTGTGGGTGGTTCATTTAACAGTAAATGCCTGCGTTATCTCTCGCCTCATTAGCACCACACATGCACATATACAGCTGGTTTGCTCCTATTGTGCAATAATTAGTAAACGAACTTTTAAAAACGCACACCCACTTGGAGGCTAAATATTAGTAAGCCGTTCATATTACCTCCACACTAGAAATAAATAGTTAAACTGTGCAGATGAGGATGTGAGTGCGTCTTTGCAAAAAAAAAGGCACTTACATAATCTGATTTCATTTCACAGAGATTAATGATGTTTTTTTACCCCGTTTTCTTTCGCTCACACTCTCACTCCAGTGTTCTGACAGAGCAGTAATCAAACTGATATTATCATAATTGGATCTGTGGCCAGCTCTTTAGAGAAGCCATGTAACCACACAAATCTGCCAACAGTTTTCCATCATATAAATCAACACGTTACCTCCCGCAGCCTTAGGCTGTTCTCGCTTTCTGAATTGAGCGCTGCCTGATTTTCACTTGCAAAATTAGGATTTTTTGCACATAGTTTCAGTTGTGTGATCTTGAAAAATCCTTAAGCAGCAGAAAACAGCAGAATGCAGCAGAAATCTAGGTCTACAGCAGCACCTGGTGCACACACATATCGTTTTGAAATTTATGTCCGCATTGAAATGCTCTCTGTGGGTTTTGTTTATCATAACACCACTCTCTGCTCTGGTGCTAAGGGGTTCTCACCTCTAACTAGTGAATACCAGTGTTAAAAATTGGCTTTTACTCAAGACTGCCTAGAGATAAAACAAACTGTGATCCACTGAAGTGTCTGTGATATCCTTCAACAATTTGTTTGCAGACTCTTGAATTGCTCGTAGCCTCGTTTCCACGGGGTGTAAACACGCAAAGCAGGATTACACTAGATGCTGACAGTGCACTTGACAATACAGCAGTAAATTAGCCCTGGTGCCAACAACAGGGCTCGATACTCTAGAGACAACAGCCCAACTAGAGCTTTATCTCTGTGCACACTGATACCCTAAAGAGGCTCATTCTGGGTCTGTTGACATCTAATTGTGGCTGAAATTCACACTTTGTTTTCTTTAGTTATCTCAACCCATTAAGTTACTCTATTTTCTTTGGTTTGTTTCTTGAAAATTTCAGTCAGCGGAAGCTGAACTTTCTTCAGTTTCCTCAGATTTTAACACGTCAATGTTTCTGAGAGTGTGTGCCAATGAAATAGGATCCACACCCCCATGTGTCCATCAAAGTCTTCTGTTATCGCCTCTTCCAGTATAATCCACTCTTCCTGATCGAGAAGGGTTGTGAAACCCAAGCCTGTTTGGCGTTAACATGCATGTTCACTTTTCATTTAAAAATGTCCCTTGATTGCAGCCCTATCCATTTCACCCTGTAACTGCCTTAGGAGCTGCTTTCTCTCTATAAACAAGGCTGAAGAACTTTCATGTGGGATGTTTTTGCTTTGGTTAGTCAGTGTATGGGCATTTGTGTTGTAAGTATAAGTAATTGTTTAGGTCTGGGTGGTCAACAGTATAATACCATTGCTGAGGTCATACATTAGAACACTTTTGGGATCGGATTCAGAGTGGGCTTTACTGAGTGGATTAACCAATTTGTACCAATTAGTAACCTTGTTTTGATGATGATTGTCCATCTGCTGGTCACCAAGTAGAGACAGACTGATAATCAAACATTTGTGTTAAAAATCCAAAATTGGTTGATCTATAGCTGTAGGCATAATCAGGAACATGATTTTAAGAGAGAACAAAGCCAAAAGTTCTGCTGGATAGCATTTCTCCAAAGCTTCTGAAAGATTTTGTATTATATTAGAAAGCCTTCACTATTAAGGAGCCTTCCCATTTACCATGGTTTGTGCATCTGTGACGTTTGAATGCATGTTTTGTTTAGCAACCGATGCTAATCATATTTGACCCAGAATCATGGCCTTGAATTGGTTCATTGATTGAGGAGGACCACATGCTCCATCTGTTTTGATTGCATTATGCAAAGTTTTGTTTTCATTAGACCTCACTCTTAACCCTCTTTCTCTCTCTCCATAGGGACCTGATGCCTAAGACCCTGGAGGGCCAGATCACCATGGAGAAAACACCAAGCTACTTTGTGACCCGCGAGGCTCCGGCTCGAATCTACGCCCTGTCCCGCGACACCAAGCTGATCGTGGTGGTCCGGGACCCCGTCACACGAGCCATCTCTGACTACACGCAGACACTGTCCAAGAAGCCTGACATTCCTACTTTTGAGAGCCTGACGTTCAAAAACAGGACTACAGGGTTGATCGACACCTCGTGGAGCGCCATTCAGATCGGCATCTACGCCAAACACCTGGACAACTGGCTGCAGTTCTTCCCCATGAGCCAGATCCTGTTCGTGAGCGGAGAACGGCTGATCAGCGACCCGGCCGGAGAGCTGGGCCGCGTGCAGGACTTCTTGGGGCTCAAGAGGATCATCACAGACAAACACTTCTACTTCAACCAGACCAAGGGCTTCCCTTGTCTCAAAAAGGCCGAGGGCAGCAGCAAGCCCCATTGCCTGGGTAAAACCAAAGGGCGGACCCACCCAAACATTGACCCTGAGGTCGTGCAGAGACTTCGAGACTTCTACAGGCCTTTCAACATGAAGTTCTACCAGATGACTGGGCATAACTTTGGTTGGGATTAACCGTGAATGGAGGACCCGTTGTTTTCTTTCTTTTTCTGTGTATTTGAAATGGCAAAAAGACATTGAGATGATTGCTATATATATGTAAAATGTACAGAAATCTATTTTATAATAATTTATTTTTAATTTCTAAGCAATTAATTCACTAAGCTGCCTAACCATATTGTACATAACGTCTGGCCCAACTCTAGTCTCACCACCGACATTCCACGTTTTTGATTTGCTCGGCGTGTTTCCATTCACAATGAATTTAATGGTGCTTCCGAATTAGAACATGCTTCGACAAACAAAAAAAAAAAAAAAACAGTTTGTTACGGGTATCGTGCAGATTTACAAACCAATAGCGACATTTGCAATTCATTCAGTTCTGAATGTCCATAACATCTACCTTTGCGAAGGAGGGTAATGAACTATATTTCACTCTCTGACCGCATTTTGTGTTTCATTACACTCCATATTGGCCCAAGTCCTATTATGCTCAGCTGATAAGCAAGAAAGCTGATTCAATGTGTCCCTTTACTCAATAACATGACGATCAATAGCCCTAATTGCTACTTACAGTGTCACTCATGTTTAGAGTCAACCGCTGGGCTTTCACTCGCAGGTTCCTGTAATGAATGACCAATCCATCGATGGCTAAATCGTATCTTGGGCAGCATGTCGACATTATGTTAATCGCGTAACATATCTGAACCGATCGATTGGGTTTCTCCAGCCTCAGAAATGGCTTGCTGCCCTGTCTGAAAGGTTCAAAGGTCAAGATAGCATTGAAAGGAACTGGATTTGTTTAGAAAGCAAGAGCCAAATGACATGTCATGCACCTCGTAGATGGCAGGCCCGCGTTTTTATTAAAAAGCTTTACCCAAATGTGACTCATACTAGAAAATAAGCCCCATAACGTGACGGGTAACGTTTCTCATTCATCCCATCGAAACTCGTTTTCCACTACATCTCAGTTCTCCTCTTCTTGCCAAATTTTAACAAGCTTGCATTGAGATGCCTCATTGTTCATCTTTTTCTCATGCAAGCCTCCATGTGCTTTTGTTTGTCTTTCTACTTGAAAGCGAGGAGAAACGGTCGGTCGCTCTTTATCTGTGAAATTCATCCCGTGACCACTGAGATGGCGGCTGTCTCGAAGGCAAGATGAATGACTGTGCTTTAGTACGGCTCTGGTTACTGTTCATTTAGAGCACCTGATTCAGGATCAGCTCTCGATGTCAGGTTAAGGTGTTGGGTTTGAAGGGTGCATGGAGCCAACATTTCACTTTTTACACCTCAGCTTTAACGTCAGGCTGAGATGCTGTACCTGGAGGTCACCGGGTGGTTTTAAGGCAGAATATTGCATTACGAATGTACTGAAACTTCCCCCTTTTCACCCTTATTTAATATACTGGAAAATGAAAGGCAGAGGGACATGTTTGTCTAATTGTTTGTTCCTGGATGGATGCATTTGAAAAGATAAACAAAATGAAAGCGTTCTGTATCAGCTCACTGATTTTTGTTTTGTTTTACAACATGCTGTGCCTCGAACCTGTGCTATGATAAGCCAACTTCCTTTCGTTTAGAGAGGAGATTGTAATATTTATCAGCTGTGAGAACACAGCCATACGATTCTTGTTGGCCTTCAAGTCTGAATTAAGTGGTGGAAGCTGAGGAAAATTTCCTAGGGCATTTTTCCTACTTTATTCAATTCATCAAGTAATCAAATGTTCTGAGTCAAAAGAGAAACAATGTGAAATTTCTCCTCCAACTGTAATCAAATCATCAAAGCTTGTTTCTTGCATTCACATTTCATTTAAAAGCAAATCAGTTGGATTATGGAACTGGATACTGAATAGGGTCGAGCAAATTGTCAGCAAATGCTCACCCATGGGGCCTCCTGTGATTTTTTACCAGTGCAATTTTTTTTTTTGATTCAGAAACAACTGTCCCAAGATGTCGAGGCATTTTCTGGGTATAGTTTGTCACTGATTACATGTGAACTGCATATGAATTCTGATCTGTCAAAAGTTGTTGTGAGCAAAGTTTCATATCTTCGCTCATGGTCAGGCAGTGTGCGCTGATGCATCTGTTTAATGGTTGAGTTTTATTCAACTTCATAGAGATATCCAGATGTTTAAAAAATGTTTGTCTTACTCTGAGTATAACAGAAATAAATAGACTAGAAATGAGCTTTATGTACAAATGATGAGGAAGACATGTAAACCAAGTATTTTGTGGTATCAAAAATTAATTTTACACCATGAAAGAGAAAAATGAAACAGATGTTTCTAGATAATTAAATACTGAACATTCATACTTTTGCTTTGTATGAAGAATAAAATAAAATATATATTTTACCAAACTAATTGACTCGGATATTAACTAATGTGTCTTTTTGTTGGGTGAGATGATATATGAGAATGTGTTTCTGACAGAATTTTATTTTTGGTTCCTTCTGGAAAAAAAAAAAATTGAAAATGTTTTGATTGGCATTTTACAAAGTTGTTAGACTTACAAAACACTTAACCTACTTTTTATTTATTTTTTAAAAGAAATTCAGTTTATTGATTTTAAAAAGTGCAAACAAAACCTTTTTCATAATTAATGTTAATTGTACAATTATACATTATGCCAATTACTTGTGGTTCATTGAATATTTAAAATCTTTTTCATCACTGAAAAAGGTCATATGAGGTCACCTTATGACCCTTTTGAGCTCCCATCCACCCTTTCACCCTGTATGAAATAAATACAGGCCTTGTAAAATCTATAAAAAAAAACATCTAAAATGAAGCAATCTAGACTCTAAATCACAGTCTATGTTATTCAATTTTGATTCTGTCATAACTGAAAATAATTATATGTTCAGAAACTGAGTCAAATATTGATCAGTAACCGCTCTGCTTCAGTCCAGTAAAAGATTAACCAGAAGATTCAAACTAAAGAGCCAGCCATAGGGGAACCAGCTCATAAGAGTCATTATTTTGACTCGGTCAACCGGCTCTTACGAATCTTTCATTCGGGAATCGGACACTGATCCACAGAACATTTTTTGTTGTTGTTGTTTTGACAATTTGTTGTTTTTGCTGGTGTAAAACGCTAGGATAACAAAATAGAACTGCGTTTCTTGCCATTATGTTGGGAAATACGATATTGTTATTGCATCAAATTCATTATAGAGATAATGAATTCACATTCAAATCACAGGTAAGATATCATTAATTTTGCCGTGACGCTGAAGATTAATTAACGCGGAACGCTGTTTTCTTAATGGTTTGTTTCTTGATCCATTTTACAGTTTGACTGCATTTTGTACTAACGAACTGTGACGTTAGGCCTAAATTTTACCTCAGCACCTCTGAAGGATTTTATTTATTGTTTGTTTGTTTGTTTGTAACCAAGTCTTTACAGTACGGTTTCTGTTGTGAAGATGTAGTTAAATACGCATTTAAAATGACACAAACACACCTCTTAATAAGAAGATGCTTAGGAAGTTGTTTTTAGCAGGCTGTAGCATCTAAAAACCATCGTGTTTTTGTAGTTTATTTCCAACTGATTCAGAGAAGGATTTGGGCAGCATCAAGTTCAGATACCTAGTTGATCTACAGCTTCTTTCTCCATATTTCCTCATAAATAGAGGATACAGTCAGTGGATAGATTCCTGTAGCCCACCCACTGACCCTCTAATGAAAAGAGATCTCTGTCCATGTACCTGTGGTGAGATGCACCAGCACACTGGTGTGTTTATTGCTGGTCAGAGCCACCAGCCTATCAAACAAGACTGCAGTTCTAGTTTTCCGTTCAGTGCAGTCTCTGGGGACAGGTGATTTGCACCTGGGTTAGAAAGTGTGGTGGAGCAGCATCTGCCATGGACACTAAAACCTTACAAACCCCTATATGGGTCACCTGAGGATGTATGAGGGATCTTTTGTGTTATGCTGGTTGTGCAGGTTGCCTCAAACTACTTTATTTCCAAAAAAGTTTGTCCTGGAATGTATGTGCCGCCGGATAGGGAGATTCAAACTCAAAGTTCAAAAGTAGGAAGCCTTATTGAATATTACTGGCCAGTATATTGTATATTACTTGCCATCAAATGCTTTGTTTCCATCCAAGTATATTCAATTAGTCAAGTCAATTAAGCTTTACTTGTTCAAGACAACCAAACCAACAGTTCTGGGAGCTCTTAGTAGCCAATCTAAGCAAATTTTTCAGTCACATAACATGACTTAAAATTACATGACTTTGATGCATATTTTTGATATTTCTTAAAAGGGTCATGACATTATTATTTTAAACCTTCATTCGGACCATCTGTCTGAAATGATCTGTTTTTAAGGGACGGCTCCTTTAAGGCTTGTTAGTAAACGTGAGTACAACATTATCAAATATAAGACCTTTTCTGAAAATTGCAGGATTTTTTACGGTAAAAAAGACCTTATGTCAAAAGTTCAAGGCAAATTTAATTTGTTTTCCTTATTCCTGAATTTATATGAATTTTGAAAAATGTCAAATTTGTGTCTGCGATTTCTTTAAAAAAACATTTATGCAATGATCCAAAACATTTGTTATTGACACAAAAGGCCAACATGTTTTTATTGCTCCTCGGGCAATTTTCAATAGTTTATTTAGCATCTAGGATGTTAAAGGTCAAAGTAGTCATTCTTTTTTTTGCGGTTGTTGATATCTCAAAAATTGCACAACATTTGTGGATGGAAACCCAGCTTATGATACCCAAATGCTTGTATAAAAATTGTAAACTTTAAAGACATTTTTTTTTATTGTTTTAAGATTGTTTACAGACCCCTTTTTATCAAATACTTGTCTATTACGTTTTATCACATACTACTCTATTCCCATAGTGACCGTTTTCTACTCGATTCCCATAGTGACTGTTGTCATCGTCTGTGTTTCCAGCTCTTTTTCCACTCTAAGGGCCGGCTGACACTCTGTCGGGTTGACATGAACTGAAAACACAGCTGGCCCCAGGGACCCCCTATGGGGCTGAGGTGTTACCCGATCTTAGAGATCCTTGGCTGGAATAGAGCAAAGCCGAGCCCTGGGTGACTCCTCCGTCCTCCCGGGAGCGAAGCATTCTAGGGAACCGAGATAAGGACAAAAGCCATATGCTCTTCTGTAAACAACAGGGAGACTGTGGCACACACTACAACACATCCATGTTGTTTTTGTGCATCCACGGCATTGTAATATAATCCTGAAAATCGCTCAACTTCTTATTCCAGTAATTGCTAGATGGAAGGATTCTGAATATTTAACTCAAATCATTCCTGCTAGAACTTGTCACGTATTTAGCTAATTGACATTCCCTGTTAGAAACAGCCGAAAATGACGCCATGAGGCAACGAACTTGGCCTCGTGAAGAGCAAAACATGTCTCGGCTTTCTTTTTTTCTGCGTCGTTCGATAATTGTCTTCCTTTCATCAAGATAACAGACAACACCGGCATGTCTGAGACTAGATAATTGCTCATTGCAAGCCGAAGTGTAGACTTCATTCCGGTTAGTCTGTTTACACCATTCTGACTTTACTGGCCTGCATTCAAAACTTCTGAAAAAAATCTGTTGGCATGACCCATGCCGATAAATGATGATCCTGATTAGGCCTCTTCCTTTAAGACATGAGGGATCAGCGCCAATACACCTTTAGAGGAAGTGTTTATGCTGCTGCTGCTAAGCTCTGGGCGCTGAATGGTATCCAGTAATTGCTACTTTACTCTTAACCGATGACTTGCTGTCGTCACAGCAGCCGTGGGGCTGTTGTGGGTATGACTGCTGTTGTTTTCGAGGTTCGGATAGGTGCAAACACCTGGCCTTTTCTTGACATGTGAATCCCCTATGTCTCATTTATAGACCCCCTCTTAATGGTTGCTTTCTAGCATATTTAATCTGGCTGGATTTAGACTTAAATTATTGTTGAAGGTCCACCACAGAGGAAAACATGCCTTGCAGAAAAGAGGGGGAATCAATAATTCAGCTCACTCAGCCCCCTTGATACCACATTAGTTCATGCTGCTTTCTATTCAAGAGTGGTACGTACGTAGTGCGCTTTCATGACATTTATGTTTTAAAAGTGGCAAGTTATGGTTGGGAATGTAACTGACCTAGTCTTTATTTTATTACACACGTGTCAAGGATGGACGAAAGAGAACTGGCTGTAAATTTTCTAAGACAGCACATGGAAAGGGGAGGAGGACCGTTTACGTCAGGGTTGTTCGCTATTCAGAATAAACAGAGAATTTCTAAATGTGAAATAGCAAACTGGATGCAGAAAAGCAATTTGAATTTGACTTAAAATGAACTCAAATGTTAGACCGTGTTCAAGTCCACTTGGAAAGTTTTCATTTATGCATTGGCAAGCCGTAACACCCTTTTATATGGTGGTGTTGGTTTTAGTGCAGACATACTGTAAAAGAAGAAATATAAACATATGGCATTGAATGTAAGAATGTGGGACCAGATGGACAAAGAAAAAAGAGGATTTGAAAAGGAAAGTGATCAGAATGCACATCAGACATGGTTTTGCTTTTTTATGTTTTTTCATCCAATTCGTGTTGCTGTAAACCATGGTGCTGAATCGTTAAATATTCCATTTCGTTATATTTTATACTTGCAAGTTATCTAGTTTTATTGTAAATTAATTTACAACAAACAAATAGTCAATACAGAGTAGACAAGGCAGCCATTGCATCTGTTATTTTTTCGCCGACTGTCACAACTCCAACTCAGAAACTTGGGGCTCAAAGACAATCCTGAGTTTTCCACTCGTAATTACGGCTTGATGGTGGCCTTCATGTGTGTTTGGGTCATAAATGCAATCGTTCTGACATGACTTGAATGAACACTCCATGTCATTCAAATTCCAGTTCAACTTTGTGTAAGGTGTGGCTAATTCAGTTCAAGACTTTATGGCTGCAATGAGGGAGCGAATAAACAAGTTATCCTGGAGTTTAAATGATGCTTTCTAAATGTCTTTGAATTTCCACTAGAAGTTGTTTGTGTTTGTTATGAATGCACTTAAATAAAGGAACCATCTTCTCAATGTGAAATTCAACACCCTCACAGGTGTTTCCTTTGATTTCCTGAGATTTGGCTTTGGCAGAAAGTGTGTTACTACATTTAATATCCTTGCGTGCTTCCTTTCAATGGATAAAATCTACACCAGGTCCTTTTGCCAACCCGATTAAACATCTCTTACTTGGATAAAAATATCAAATGTTAATCATAATCCATGTATATGGGACTATTGAGGACCATTTGGCCAATCAGATTGACAGGTTAACAGTGTACGTTACCTATGCAGGATCTGAGGTTTAGGATTGAGTAACTATTGAAGGAAGCAGCATGCT